CATTGAGTCAAATGTACACTTATATCATTCCCTGTATTGTTGTAACGTATTAGGGGATGTGTTTTCCTTACACGATCTTGAGACGTTGCGTTCCCCTTCAGATGTGTTTGTCCACGTTTTGTTTATCTCGCTGTAATTAATGTCTAACAAGCAATGATTCCATCAATAATGCATGTCCCTATGAACAACTTTTTTTCAGGAAGGAAAGACAATGACACACCGATAAGAACATGGGTGCCGTTTGTTGGTCCGGGGAGACGACTCTTGTATAACGGGATGCGGTATGAGCATGGCAGCATCATAATCCCCGCCACGGGTGTGTATGTTGTATACAGCCATGTTAAGTTCTACACAGAAAGGAATCGTCGGGGAGATACAGAAACTGATTTCCACCATTCCATAATGCGATACAATGCACTAGAACAGACGAGTACAACTGCACTTGCTGACGCAGTGTCTGAGAATAAAAACGACATCATTGACGGCGCTAGCCTGGAATACTCCAGTGACATCCATGGACTTCTGCAACTCAATGCTGGGGATCAGTTGGTTGTTAAAGTATCAAGGATAAACCCATTAAGGCATGACAGAGACTGGCATTACTTTGGTGTATATATGATTTAAACGCTACATCTAGGCAATCTAATAGGTTGTTGTGATATAAAATGTATTGTCCACGAATGCCTTCACTTCATTTGTTCACTTCATATTGCTTCATGTTTTAGGTTCAAAAGTGCAGCTCTTGTACATAATCATTACAAGTAGAGTATGCATAGACCTGCATGCATATGCCATCCTTACGTTGTCAGCAAACTGGCGGGGATAATCTATTTTATAATATTGACGATATTTCCAAGAAGCTCCTTGTTTGGAATCCAATTACGGGATTCGGAATCCTATAGTCACTACACATGAGAGATAATTACTGACAAAGTCCCCCTATTGATAAACCGATCGTTCTAAAGAGAAGAGCATCATTAGGATATTTTGTATATACAGTAAACTACGTTTATAACGAACACGCTTATAACGAACTGACGGATATAACGAAAATATTTTTTGTACCGGCCATTTGCTGTATATATACTGACACCAAACTACAGTTATATCAAACTAATATCAGTGGTCCCTTTGAGTTCGTTATAACCGTAGTTTACTGTATGTTATTTGGTCAACCCAGGAGGGGAGTTTAGTGGTTGCTTATATAGAAATTTTGAAATTTTTAGATTTGGAATGAATGCCAAGAGGGTACGGTGGGCCGACTAAGGGAGCTGATTATGGTGTGGTTGTTGGTTTATGTGGTTTGATTTGTTAGGTTGTTGGGTTTTAGATGCGCTTTATTAGATCTGTTTTAATTAAGTACACGCCTAAGGCTTTACATGTTTCTATTTTATTTTGGGGGTTAGGATTGCTTCTAGAGTAAGAGCCTTATTTAGATTGAGGGTTGTTTGTAGTGTAGCTCGGCGTGTTTGGTAGTGGGTGCAGTGTATGAGTGCGTGTTCTGGGGTTTCTAGGTGTTTGCAATGTGGGCAGTTTCCTGTTGCGTTTTTAAAAAAAAAAAAAATAAGGTGGCTATGTAGGTTGGTGTGTTCTGTTTGGAGTTTAGTGATTACGCTATCGATTTTTTGGGATTGACTGAGGATTCTTTTGGTTTGGTTAAAAAAAATTTAGAAGTTTTTGGATTTGGCTATTTGAGTTTTGATATAGGTTATGCCATTTTTTGATGACTTTCCGTTTGTTGATACTTTTGATTTCTGATTTTGAGAGGTTTAAGCTTATTTCAGGGATTTTAAGGGATTGTTTAGCAGCTTTATCGACGTTTTCGTTGCCTATATTCCTACGTGGGCGGGGATCCAAATGAATACTATTTGTTTGCCTGCCTAAGTTAAGTCGTTTGTGCTTTTTGATATTTGATTTATAAGTTTAGGACGGTTTTTGATGTTTTTATTTTGGAGGGTCTGTAATCCACTGAGGGAGTCTGTAAGAATTATGATTTTTTGGTGTTTTTTAGATTGTTGGTTATGGAGGGCTGAGGCCATGCTCATTAGCTCTGCTGTAAAGATAGATTGATTGTTTGGGAGTCGAAAAGAGTGCGTTCTTTAGTTGGTTGCACGATGTGGACTCCGAAGCCTGTGTGATTGGAGACCGGATCAGAGGATCCGTCTGCGTAGATGTGACACCAATTTGGCCAGTTTTCGTGTATATCACTTCCCTTTACCTACTGCTTTTTATAGTATGGCATTTATTGCCCTAATTGATCATCCCATGAACTGTGTTGGTTAAGCACGCCCACATGTCCAATGTCCAAAGCAATGTCATTGTCTCTTTGTCTGTCCATTGTTGTTCATTACTATATATGTGCTACCATTACACTGTTACTGGGGTGTTAGTCAGGCTTGGTATTCCGAGTGCTGACATAGGGACGACCTCGAGCAGGATGTGCCGCTGAAACGCCCTGAAGTGAGCTGGAGCTCCGCTCACCTCTTGTAAGCCTGAGCTGGAAGGTCCGCTCATCGCTGTGTTTGTGTTGTCAGAGCAGGTATTCCGCTCATTGTGCAGTTGTTGTTTATTGTTTACATGTTGTGCATAAAGCGTTCCGGGACAGTGATGTCGATTTTGTTCTTTATTCCCCCAAGAGCTAATTCCCCGTCAACATGCGCGTTGACACATTGTTGATTTGGTTATATAATGTTTCATGTTGCTGTTTGTAAACTGATATCACTCTGATTTCGTACTCGTATGTAGCTATGTCAACAAATACAACTTCAATCCTTAATTGATTATATTGAGTATTTTTGCAATTATAATGTTGTACGTTTTACATTTGCGGATGTTATTGAGTATTTATTGAACGTTATTTATATGTATTTCGTTTTAGCAACAATGTTTTTACTGTTGAAATCATAAACTGGTTTATATACGTCTTTATTTACATACAACGAATATTACCACTAACAACAGGATACTCATTGAAACATATTTTGTTTGTTTTATTATTAATGTTCATTGTAATGATTTGCCTACAAATCTACTTTAACATGTACATCTGTTAGTTTTTTAAAAAATAAATGACTAAAACAGTATTTCCAAATTCCAATGGTTCCTGATTTACAACTGACAGAAAATAAAAGAATCCCGGATTTAATGTAATATAGTACGTTTGAGGTAGACTCAGTGATGTGTGTATCTACTCTACCATACATGGGTATTTCGTCAACAATTACCATTAAGCTTATGAAAAGCGTGTTTATTCTTGCTGATGTATACGTATTTAGTTGTTTACGAATATTTCTTACACGACCGTCTCAGTAAACATGCGATATATACAATGTACATATTGTATTCGGCAACTATGGTCCTTTCTACCCACCGTTAAAGGGCGTTACCTGTAAACTTGCTTCACTTTGTAACGTGATGAAAGGCCATGTGTGCCCTAAACAAACGTGACGTCTCATTGTCCCTCGTATGTACATATATAAAGTCCGAAGAACGTCACATTTAGACGTTTTTTATGTGGCTTGAGATCATTATTCACTTTTGTCTAGAGAGAAAAAGCTGGAGTAAGCATTATAATAAACTGTGACGGTAGAATTTATACCATATTGACTCTTGTTGGTTAACCCCCAGTGGGTAGTGAGGTGTCAGGTGTTTGAGGACTTCTCTCTAATACACTGGTACTGAACGTAAGGCACCATGCAGCCAATCTGTATGGTGGGAAATACTTACTCAGAGTCTGAGTGCGTCCAATCTAGGTATGACGCGGCCGGGGATCGATGATCATCGCCTGTCCGTGTATACCGTCAGATCTTATAATCGCCTGCCCGAGTACACCGATGGGTATGATCATCGCCTGTCCGAGTATACCGTCAGGTCTGATCATCGCTTCTCCGAGTGTACCGCCAGGTCTGATCATCGCCTGTCCGTGTATACCGTCAGATCTTATAATCGCCTGTCCGAGTATACCGATGGGTATGATCATCGCCTGTCCGAGTATACCGTCAGGTCTGATCATCGCTTCTCCGAGTGTACCGCCAGGTCTGATCATCGCCTGTCCGAGTGTATACCCTCAGATCTTTTAATCGCCTGTCCGAGTATACCACCAAGTCTGGTCATCGGTTGTCCGAGTATACAGCCAGGTCTGGTCATTGCCTGTCCGAGTATACCGACAGGTCTGGTCATCGGTTGTCCAAGTATACCGCCAGGTCGAATCATCGGTTGTCCAAGCATACCGCCAGGACTGATCATTGCTTGTTCCCTGCCTATGTACCATGTGTCATGCGAGTTTTACCGTCATATCCTCTATGTGGTACTGTCAAGGCAGGTAAAGTGAGTTACATACCGACACAGCTCAAATGAATACCATCTTGTAGCAAATGTTGAAGTAGAAATGGTAACAGCGTTAGAATAAATTAATCATCAAGATTATTGTATTTTCTTTGAGAGGCATTAAGAAGTTGGAGTACTAAGTAAGGATAAGATATATGGATGAACAACTTCTTTATTACAATTAGGAGCGACGTTTCGGTGCAGGTTCTAACATCTTTATCAAGCAAGTGACGTACATGGTTGACAAGTATATATACAGGTAGGAGGCAGTGTTGAAACAAATGAGTAAATATCAGATATGCTGGGTTTTGTGTAGGGCTTTATTACAGTCAATCCGTTTCTGTGGTGACATAATATTATGCAACGGTAAAATAGGGAAGGAGTTGTTTAAAATTTATCATCGTTTTGTAGACGATATTCCTGTTTCCCTTGGGCCATATATATATATATATATATATATATATATATATATATATATACTGAATTCGCTCTTGTATCCGATGGTATATCTATTTTCAAATTATAATATATGCTCCAAAATAATGCCAAGCCTTTTCAGGCTTTAACAGTTCCAAATGTTCAAGTTTAAATATCGGACATCTAAATGTATAGAACAACTTCATTTCAGGTTTGTGACCCCAGTTTGCAAACATAACAAAAAAATCGAATTGGCATTTTCAAGTGTGTCAGTATATATATTCATGTCTGTGAAAATATACATTGGTTCCATATTTATTCATGTACGCATCTTAAAGCATTAGGCATCATACGTAATTTGAATTTCATTTCAAACCTTGACACATCTAAATGCACTACGGAATATACACCATTTGAATTTATTTTAAAACGTTGACAACCACTGGATTGCCTTGAAAAGAAAATTTAAATCATATAGACTCCAAAATAATGCCAATCCTTGTCAGGCTTTAACAGTTCCAAATGCGACACATTTACTATCACCTGGTCTCCAGCATTCAGCTGCACCAAACTGTGGATGTCACTGGAGTATTCCAGACTTGCTCCGTCAATGACATTGTTCTTGTTCTCACACACGATGTTCCCCGATACAGTCTCTGTCTGTTGCGACACAGCATTGTATCGTGTTATGCTGTGATGGAAATCGAGCTCGGGATCAACGCGATGATTTTTTTCTGTGTAAAATTTTACATGGGAATAGACGACATACACTCCAGCGGTTGGGATTGAAACACTTCCGTTTTCATACTCCATGTTCTTGTGCAAGTATTGCACTGATCCAACGAAATCTATCCAATTCCGTACTGCAGTGTTTGTAGGTGTATCTGTAAAACAGAAGTAGAGGAGTGACAAAAACATAGAAATATATGTGCGATACGATTGCATTCATGGGTATGTTGGCTTTCTCAGGAAAACGAATATTTGTTTTGTTATCACTTTCACTTTATTTCGAACAAATCGCTGATCAGTGTGTATCAAGGGGTGGGGCCTCCAATACCTCGTTTAAGGGGCGGGGTTACTACAATATAAGTTACTACAAGTCCAGCTCTCTGCACCACAAAATACTTTCTTATATACGTTGACTGACGAGAGCAATGTGACTGACATGAAGTATCGAATATCTGCCCCTCGAAATATCTCGTGATGCGCTCGTTATCCAATTCACCAATTAACACTTTTTTCCAGTAATGATAAATTCTTATTCCGCACTGTTAGAGATAACAGGGTTCGACTCTATCATGAAATCTTATTAAAATGGTAATATTGTTTGATTGATACATTTGATATCCGGTAACACTAGTACTGTTAACATACAACTGCCCTGCAACAAAACGAAGCTGGAGGTATTTGAAATATATGCTGATAAGATGAGAAGATCATACCTTCGTCGTTTTCGCCGAAGTTAAGTCCTGTCAGAAATGCGATGGGTTTCAGAGTATTCCGATATTCTAGTGACGTGGTCTGTTGTTCACCTGTATTAATTTAAATTCATGACAGCAGATCACCATTTATGCAATGCTTCGCATGGTGGTAATATGTATACATTCTTATGACAAAGGAAGAAATAATTGTTTTCGGACTTCATATATCAGAAGCACTCCCCTACCCTACTCTACACAGATATCTATGCGGTCAGCATAGTACCTCTGTCACAGGCCAGCGCCATGTTATGATTTATCACATCTTACGCAGTCCATTCAAAATACAGCGTACTTTTTCATTTTTGACAATTCTGAACATGTTGCTAAACATATGTGATCGAATGGTTATCTTTCACTAAGTAAATATTCCTTAACGTGAAAAAACATTTCCATTTGCATAGTTTACATTTGCTGAAGGACTCCACGTGCTGTCATGGAAGCCCAACGGAGAAATAGCTGTACGACCGTTTTGATGCATAAAGATAAATTGTTATGAACCTGGCTGTCGAAGTTGTAGAAGCATATCTATATAATTATGCAAAACAATATGTAAAGAGGGTTAACTTCTTTATTATGTTGCCACGGTTATATATATATATATATATATATATATATATGCTCTCTGCCTCATAGCATTTTTCACCTAATGAAGGAGTATGTTTTTACTCCGACGAGTTGTGTTCTTCATAATACAGAAGTTAACATCCATAATTTGTCTTCGTGTGTATCACTATCAAAGACTTAATATGTAAAGTGCATCGAAATGCTTGCAAAAGACCAGTCTCTTCGCATTTCAGGATATACGCGTCTGTTTACAAACAAGATAAAAGCATGGTCACGTGATACTAGTATAAACATTATGTGACAGTGGTGTAATCGGTGATTTAAGAACATTCAATGGAAACCGAGCGAAACGTGTAATTCTACAACACAAGAAAACCTACTTACCACGGGGATGGTGCAGAGTCTGTTGATGATCATCATAAATCTGCAATGACCAGTAATATAGTTTATGTTCTATTTTATTGTTAGAATAGTAAATGACATGCTTAATTAGTTACAAACATGTGTAGTCCCAGAGATGTTCCAAAAACTCGATGATGATATATGACCAACAAAGAGATCTACAGACTATTGCATATTTTTTTCTGTCCATATTTATCCACTTGATTGATGTAAGTTCGTACATTTTTCACTGCAACCTGTACTATATATTTTCTACTGACAATAGAAAACAAGTTGATTTGGATGGTCAAAAAGTTAATTTCATTTCATATTCGTACTTCGTCGATCTGCTTCTTCAACTCCTCGGCAGTGTTCCAGAGTGTTGCAGCAGTTGCCACAACACAAATCACTGCGATTCCAACAGCTATGTTAAGGACGAGCACAGCAGCGACGACTGCTTTCGTCGGTTGCATGGTGTTCCTTTTGTCAAAGCGGGCTTTTTCTATAAAGACACAGAACATAAAATATATTATGTACAAATGCTGTATGAAGCAGATTATAAAATAAAGCTTATAAGTCATCGTCATCATATGTTCTCTGTCTGCGTCATAGACGCGAAACGTGCCCTCATGTTCCCGATGTTCATATTTGATTGCAAAAGGATTTATATATGTCAGATATTTAGACTTTCAAAAGATAAGACGAATTGTAAACTATTAATACGTTATGTAGAGGCCACTTCCTACCCTTTGTCGACTTCACTGCATATTTGCTAATATTTATTTGTATAAGTTAATTATGGGAATCAAGAATTTAATTGTTTTGCAATAACAAATCTATCAAACTAAATGTAGTATGCGCCGAAAATGATATATATAGCGCATATAGCGCAATGGATTTCGACCGCCTGAATATTGCCAAATCAGGTCTCTTTGACTATTCTGTCAAATAGATTGGATGGAATGTTCAACAATCAGGTGATATATACGGATGACAGCATCTGTTATGCATTCCCATAACAGTTTAATGATGTTGCGAAACGTCTGACATCAACACAAGGAGCTGTCGACATAGTTCTGTTTTCATATCAAGTCTAGATACTGATTGCAGAGTCAGTGGTGGCGTTTAGGCGGACAACTATCGTTTTTAACTTCATAATGTGACAGTCCGATTCGTGTGTTGGGTTGGGTAGTACTACTTTTCAGTGTTGTTGAAATGAACGTTTTCAGATTTCTGCGCGCAAGGCCCATAAATCGGCATCTATTTCTAGTGCCATCTTCATTATTTGTGTGATGGTAATTCCAGGCATTCTGTTTGTCAGGTTATTATATTGCCGTGGTTCCACTAATGAATTATACCCGTTACATTGCAATGTAACACGTATCGGAATGAGTGGGTGGCCCTAAACACAACCAGAGCCATCTCGTCAAAGATACACCCGAGATGCGGCATGATACATCTAAACAACACAACAAAAATCTCAACAACCAGTATGATACTTTACAATCGATTCCATCAAATATGCAACTATTTTAACAACGGTTAAGTTCAGTTACAAAACTACTGTACACATCACTTCTCTTTTTTGTTAAAATACGATAAATACATTAATAAACACAATTATTTATTTTTTATATTTAACTCTCACTTTTATAAATCGATAAGGTCTAAGAATATTTTTGAACGGGAATGGTAAAGCAATCATCATAAATCTATTGTTATCCCATAGATACAATTTGAAGGAAGTTGTCGGACTTTTGTCATTTGTCATTGCTTAAAAGGAGAAGATAGATACGAAGCACAGATGTTCCTGAAACAACCTGAAACAACTCAATGCAAGATGACACACAGTTGTTGATTAGTTTGTGACTTGTCGTTGTGTAACACGACAGGTCGCGTCCTTGGTTAAGAAAAGAGATAAGGTCGGACCACAGTTATGACCTAAAACATAAGCTCCTGAATAACGTTTACAATAGTAAACAGCAAATTACATTATACGAATTATATTTAACTGATACTTCTCTCCAATCGTTAAGAATCAGCATTAGTCTACCGTACCGTGCACGTGTTTCAATCACTGTAGTTATTTCCTGGTAGTTCTTTTCACAAAATATTGATCATGTATTAACACACTCGAGATAGCCGGTTGTTAAAGGTCGTGCTGGGAGACTCACACAACGACTACTGAAGAAGTCCATGTACAATGTATGCTATTTATAGTCAAAACATCGATAGTGTGAAGGGTGGGTTGAAAGTGTACATATACAAACGTCATGCATCTTCGAAGCAAAATGAGCAATATTTCGATACATTATGTGAGAAAGAAAATGAACCCAGCTATGGATCCACTTTTATCCAATAATTGTCGATATTCAGCTTGTAGTAAACACAAGAACACAATTGCTCATGCATGCACACGCTGGATGTTTGAGCTAGGAGAAACAGTCACGCAACGTTGCAACCAAGCTTTCAACACAACCGACGCTGAGTCGATCGACATGCCATACAATGGTCGGCAGTCGCAAGCGTACAAGGACTACGGTGGGAGAAACTCGTTAAAATGATCAGGTAAGCTGAAAATAGAGTTTCCTTCGGAATATAGCTGGACATAGCTGTTTTATATTATATTTATAGAACTGACCTTGCTCCTAGTTATTGTAAACATGAGTCAGACGCTCCTGTTTAGGTCATTATTGATGTGTGACATCATCTCTATTCTTAACCAAAAACGCGGACCTTTGCGTTGCACATACTGTAATTGTGACAAACGAACAGAACTACAACTGTGCCACACCTTGCGTTGAGTTAACATCCCAACAAACTTGTGTGGGGTGTGCGTTGTTTCAGGATCTTCACTCTCCACATACAATGATACGTAAATAAGCAGGAAACGCCAATTGCGTTAAAATGATATATATTGGATAAAAATATATATTATGGATATACAAATTTATTGATTATCAATGACAATTGAAGGTGTGCTTATATTTGGCACATTAATAGGTTTGTGAAATTTTTAGCAAAAGAGAACTTACTATTGTTGTTACTTAGTTTGGGTGATACTATGTATAAAATAGTTGGAAATGTGATATACACGATTGTAAAATGTATTACTGGTTGTTGGTCTTATTGACATATGTCTATTGTTTAATAGTTATTTATCACATCGCGGGGTGAGAGGAGATTGCTCTGGATGTTTTTAGCTCCATGCATAGTGTTAATTTGTAATTGTCATTGTGAACTAACCAGCGGAATCTATTTATAAAGGATGCGTTGGCTTTATAAATATTACAAATGGAAAAACCAAGATGGGCTTAATTTAGAAGGGGATTTCCCGTTGCTTTTTAGAATCGATATGATTTGATTGTTTGTTCGTTTGTTGTTTAACGCCGCACTCGCTAAGATTCCAATGCGGGCAGTTTGTGGCAATACAGAATGTGAATGGTATTATTACCTTCGATGTTGTAAGGACGGCCATTTTTAACAACGTATGTGTTTGTGGTATTTCTTGAATAGTTTACTTTGAAGTTAGATACGGCCATAGAAAAAACAAATATTAAACCACCGCAAATGTTTGGTAATTCTCAACATATTGACGGTTACTAAAACAATAAATGGAGTAATATGGAGTGTTTACTCCTTTTAAGGAATTCATTTATAAATAATTAATGCTCGTAAATATGTGTTAACCATAAAAAAATCTCCAAGGAAATCGATATACAAATAAACATATAGTTTCCCTTCAATTTTATAATGTGCAGTGCTGTTGTGAGTTTATAAAGTACGATCATGCACTGTGCTAGAAATAAATGGACCCGTCTAGCGTATTACTAACCACTTCGCTGCTAACCGTTTTCTTGGTTTATGTTTGGGCTTGTATATCATAGCCGTTGTGGCTTAGATAACACTGCGTATGTTTACTGTATATTCCAATTTACAGCGCTGGGAGTTGGGACATATAGCGCGTTCCAAATGTCTGTACATCCCACACACAGTGTAGGAAATCGCCTTATCTAATAAGTATATGTATTTGTTTGCTTCAGTGGACATCGGGTGGGTAGATACTGAGAACGCACAAGAAACATCCCATGATATCGAAATGAAATGGAAGATATAAGTAACTTGTTTGCCATGGTTGATGCTGTTACTTACGTTTCGGCAGTAAAACTTCCTTTGTAATCGTTTCGGGTTTGGTTATTAACCACCTGACTGCTCGAGCTGCGTGATTATCATGTTGAATGAGCCGCCGCCATGCTTCTTCGTATGCTGACTACAATATGCTGATCCCACAAAAAGTAGGGGATCATGAAATATAAATGTTGTGATCGGTCGTCAATAGTAATTGATGCTTACTACGCTAACTTTGAAGCGTCTATACAAATGTGCTGGAAAAGTTAATCAATAGTTAATTAGCTGATCATGAATGCAATATTTATATATTATACTAAAGTTCATACAATGATATCTTTGGCAATTGAACTTGTTCACCAGCAGTGATCGGGTACCGGGTAGGATTACATGACAATGTGACTGTTTGGTGGTTAAGCAGGGTCTGCTTTTGATTGCGTAGCGGATAAGTAAACAAAGGAATACCGAGTCATATCATGTACGTACTTGTTCATGCGAGTAACACTTTGGGGAAGACTCTAACGTATAGCATATTTTTATATATTAACTATATATAAAATTAATGATATTATATGAGTCGTGCCGAAATTCCGGTATTTCTCTCGCTTTCGCTCGGAAAATACCAAAATATAATGCTGTATTATTTATTACCGAAGAAAATGTCTACATATAGAGACGAGTTTGAGGACAGCAAGTCACAACAGCAGCGGGACAACAATTTATCAAATGACGGAATTTAGACAGTCGTGTCGTAAACATAGTATGACACGAACACTCATATAATATATTGTATATATGTTCCTGTTATTGTCCGGGAGGAACATTTTACAGGATAAAGTAAGAAAATCAAGTATCTGTTAAACCTGCACTTTATGCGCTTCTTTACACGCTTATGCTTGCCATTACGTTATGTGTAAAAGGATTTTGTGTAAATAACTTCCATGCGCTCGGAGCGGTTGTGTACTTGTAGCCTGATGATAAATCGTTCGCCAGTCATGCCCAAAACACAGGTTCGATTCCCAACATGGGTAAAATGTGTGTATGTGTGTGTGCATTGCTGGTGTTCCTCGACGTGATGTTGGTGAACGATTGCTGGAAGAGGCATACAAAACACATTCCCTCACTACATACTGTACTTGTTTCCATATTTGCGTATTTTTGCAAAGCGTTATCTTCATATAATGAAACGTATGTTTTATGATTCACATTGCTGAACTTGATTTTACCTGCGCACTGCTACTTAACGCATTACACCAATCAGTAAGATTCGATAATTTTCCTCAGTGTTCAAGATATACCCCCAGCGTGTATTTGCACCGAATACTGCAGTTAATCTCCAGTAATTGGAGTAAACATGGCGCATGATGTTTGCAGGGTAACATGCGCTTTGAATGGCGTTAGATTACAGCACACTGCATTCTCTGCTTGAGTGTTGTGAAAGGCAATCTATTTATAGACATTCCGGATGGAAAAACCAACTGAGCAAACACTACTATTTATAGGCATCGGGCATTTACACCGTGAAGATCGAGAATAGATCCATATATATAAAATCCTTTTGCATTGTCACTTCTGTAAATGATGTGAATCCAGTAACAGGACTGGTGAGTACTAATTCCATATTCATTATTGTTTTATTTATTTGACTTTACAGGGTAATTTAATAGTTACTCTGACTGTCAACCAAATAGTTGTCAAGCTGAAATTGGTATGCATTTCATCGTTGCATATATATTACGTTATGCTCTCCAATTAGCAGTTCAAGATTATGTCATACATATTTAGTTTTCTATTTAAATTAATTTCATCATAATGGTATGATGGTCTATTTACTGTGTTGTTGGAATGCCAATTCCTTGATGATGCTCATTGTAACCGATAGTCAAGATGATACTTTTTTTTAAATATGTACTTAGAAAATCCATCATATGTAGAAGAAAATAGTCTTGATCGAAGTTTGATTAAGGTGGGCTATATCTACATTTCGTCATCTATAATTATCTTGAGTTATACTCTGGGATACTTGGACATGCATTGTGTATTACATATTGCGATGAGTTATCATACCATTATACGTAAATACCGTTTTACATGAAGACTTCTACGAGGATGAGGTTGTACTCGCACATTACATGTGTTATCTCGGGACAGATGGAGCGGATTGGTGCTTGTACATGTAGCTTACTTGTGTAGTATGTAGTTGTATGGTATGTCTATTACAAGCATATTACATGTGTTATCTCGGGACAGATGGAGCGGATTGGTGCTTGTACATGTAGCTTACTTGTGTAGTATGTAGTTGTATGGTATGTCTATTACAAGCATATTACATGTGTTATCTCGGGACAGATGGAGCGGACTGGTGCTTGTATATGTAGCTTACTTGTGTAGTATATAGTTGTATGGTATGTCTATTACAAGCACATTACATGTGTTATCACGGGACAGATGGAGCGGATTGGTGCTTGTACATGTAGCTTACTTGTGTAGTATATAGTTGTATGGTATGTCTATTACAAGCATATTACATGTGTTATCTCGTGACAGATGGAGCGGACTGGTGCTTGTACATGTAGCTTACTTGTGTAGTATATAGTTGTATGGTATGTCTATTACAAGCATATTACATGTGTTATCTCGGGACAGATGGAGCGGACTGGTGCTTGTACATGTAGCTTACTTGTGTAGTATATAGTTGTATGGTATGTCTATTACAAGCATATTACATGTGTTATCTCGTGACAGATGGAGCGGACTGGTGCTTGTACATGTAGCTTACTTGTGTAGTATGTAGTTGTATGGTATGTCTATTACAAGCACATTACATGTGTTATCTCGGGACAGATGGAGCGGACTGGTGCTTGTACATGTAGCTTACTTGTGTAGTATATAGTTGTATGGTATGTCTATTACAAGCATATTACATGTGTTATCTCGGGACAGATGGAGCGGACTGGTGCTTGTACATGTAGCTTACTTGTGTAGTATATAGTTGTATTGTATGTCTATTACAAGCATATTACATGTGTTATCTCGGGACAGATGGAGCGGATTGGTGCTTGTACATGTAGCTTACTTGTGTAGTATGTAGTTGTATGGTATGTCTATTACAAGCATATTACATGTGTTATCTCGGGACAGATGGAGCGGACTGGTGCTTGTACATGTAGCTTACTTGTGTAGTATGTAGTTGTACGGTATGTCTATTACAAGCACATTACATGTGTTATCTCGGGACAGATAGAGCGGACTGGTGCTTGTACATGTAGCTTACTTGTGTAGTATGTAGTTATATGGTATGTCTATTACAAGCACATTACATGTGTTATCTCGGGACAGATAGAGCGGACTGGTGCTTGTACATGTAGCTTACTTGTGTAGTTAATAGTTGTATGGTATGTCTATTACAAGCATATTACCAACAGACGGATGTCGTTACCCACAGATTACCTTCAAATTATCAGAGGTACATATATACGCAATGTATATTTTTTGTTTGTTGGATTGGTGCTTATGGGGAATGGATGAATGCAGATGGCTTTTATTTTATCTGGGAACGGATGGGTGCAAGTAGCTGACATATTCATTGATATGGAGTCATTTTGCGATGAAAAAATTGTTCACTCCAATCAACCGGGAACGAATGCTGGTGGATGGTGGCATGTTTACTTCACAAAAAGGATTATTGCAAGATGTTAATGAGGAATATATTAAGGCTCATAGTTATAATGTAACAAGAAAGAATATATGTGGTTTTACAGCTGTAATTGAAAAAGGTAATCTCCATACATAATCCCAGGCCTCTACAGGATATCAATAGTCGGTCCCTAAGTAGATTACCTGTATCTTATATATAATGTGATGATTGGTAAATGTAACTTATATATTCAATATCTAGCAGAAGATGGACATGTTACATTATACGTATATGTCTGCAAGAGCTGGGTGAATACATGAAAGTTACATGTATATTATATATGTCCATATTGACGATTAATTTTATCTGGAAGAGGGTAGGAGGGTAACTATGTTATTACAATGATTTGAAGGGACGCATGTGGATGAGGGAGGCGTGTCAGATTAGTGTGAGAGAAGAGACAGATGTGATGATTTACATTGTATTAACACGTAATCATGACAAACTAAGAAACAAATGTGGAACTTGAACCAACATCCATACATTAACCCTGCACAGCGAATAACGGCACCTTAAACAAATGTCCCATGTAGTTAATTTTAATGATCTATAATATCATATGACATTCGGGTTGTAGAACGTATCATGCAACTCCAGCGCCTTAGACCGCTGGCCAACGTATGTTCCTGACTTTTAACATAATAATACGCCATTTTGCGTTCCAGATTTGGGCAGCATCGAAAAGACTGAGAGTCATTCATGGCAAAGATTGACCTGGTTGTGTGTGCGTCACTTCTTCTTTTGAACATTGCAGTAGGCATTACGGTTATTTGCCTTGTTGTATCCAGAAAGCACGACACGCAGATAAGTAACACAGAAAACTTGAAGCAAGAAATCAGCAAGGTAAGCTGAAACATTGAGTTTGATTTATAAATTTTAGAGTACAAAAACCTTGAATGTTTTGTTATACCGTAAGCGTCTTATTTTGTAAGTGTTCATACTATTGTTGCACATTGTCAGCACACCGTGGATTATTCCATTTATAAACTAATATATGTATGTTTACTAATCATTTTTCAGATTTATGAAGGACTAAAAATAACGAACGGTCATGATGATGATGGTGATCATGAACAGAAAGGTGAGAAAGAATCTGATCAAATAGTAACAATTCTTGCCACATCAAAAACAACCATCCAGCTGTACCTGTCAAGTTTGTATTGGAACTAAACATGTAAAAGGTTTTGGTAATATCGTAAGCAGTTACAGATGAACAAAATAACCTGTTCCAATACAGTCAACTACGGTTATAACGAACACCCGTATAACGAACTGACGGATATAACGAACTTACTTTTTTGGTCCCGACCATTTGCTGTAGTTATGCTGTATATATGCTTATTACGAACTACGGTTATAACGAACTGAGTCCCCTTGAGTTCGTTATAACCGTAGTTTAATGTATGTAGAAATGTCTTTGATAGATTTGTTTTGATCATGAGTTTGCGATGTCAAGTGCGTGTGTTTTTAGACCATGTTTAAAACTGATACAGGTGCAAGGCAACCGAGCTCATCAGCAGCATTCCTGAACCTACTGAAACCTGTAGCACATTTCCCTGGACTTGAGTTCCGTGGACTCAATGGTAAGATATCTAACTAACTTTTGTTCAGTCAAATGTACAAGTATATTATTTACTGTATTGATGTAAAGTATTAGGTGATGTATTTTCCTTACACGATCTTGAGACGTTGCGTGCCCCTTCAGATGTGTGTGTCCACGTTTTGTTTATCTCGCTGTAATTAATAACTAACAAGCAATGATTCCACCAATATGAATATGTCCCTATGAATAACTTTTAATTTCAGGAACGACAAGAAATGACACACCAATAAGAACATGGGTGCCGTTTGTTGGACCAGGGAGACGACTCTTGTATAACGGGATGCGGTATGAAAATGGCAGCATCATAATCCCCGCCACGGGTGTGTATGCTGTATACAGCCATGTCAAGTTCTACACAGAAAGGAATCGTCGGGGAGATAACGAAACTGATTTCCACCATTCAATAATGAGATACAATGCACTAAAACATACGAATAAAACTGCACTTGCTGACGCAGTGTCTGAGAATAAAAACGACATCATTGACGGCGCTAGCCTGGAATACTCCAGTGACATCGATGGACTTCTGCAACTCAATGCTGGGGATCAGTTGGTTGTTAAAGTATCAAAGATAAAACCACTGAGGCATGACAGAGACTGGCACTACTTTGGTGTATATATGATTTAAACGCTACATCTAGGCAATCTGATAGGTTGTTGTGATAAAAGAGTTGAAAGCAAATTTCAGATCTCATCTTTTCCTCCTGTGGTCCAATGGACGAATGGTTGCATGTCTATTACCTTCAGTGGAATATGTCTTTTCATAGCTTACATGAAAACTATCACAGGCGCATGCAGACTCAATAGATCTTCTTTATTGTCGTATTGGTGCCGAGGGGGGAATTAGTGCATGCAGATTAACGGCATAGTATCTGTGGACGGATGGGCGGAGGCAGCTTACATATTCATGAACTAGGGTGCGATAGGGAAATGTTTACTCTGTTCACATAAATACGTGACGGATGATTACCTTTAGCTCACATCGAAAGTATTCTGTTAGGTCGGATGTGTGCACGTATTATCAAGTTTCTTTATCAAGTGACAAAGGGGTTCATATTGTTTTCATATGCATTGTACAATGATTTTTGCGTTGGACCATACAGCGACCATGAACAGCGAGTTAAGAGACCTTAGACACATGTTCCCGGGAGCATGTGAATATTAATTGGCTATCGAATCAGTACATGCAGCTTGCATGAGCTTGATCTGTGGGATGGATTGGTGCATGTGAATTGCAAGTTTCACTTGTGAAATGTACGGGATTTCAAGTGTGTAATTGGTTTGTACATCACAATTGACCCAAGTCGCAAATGCAGTGATTTATCATTTCCAACTCACGTATCTTGAAACATTTCGGACTTTATGTAAGGAAACTTGAGTGAGTGAGTGAATATGGTTTTACGCCGCTTTTAGCAATATTCCAGCAATATCACGTCGGGGGACACCAGAAATGGGCTTCACACATTGTACCCATGTCGGGAATCGAACCCGGGTCTTCGGCGTGACGAGCGAACGCTTTAACCAGTAGGCCACCCGACCGCTCCTAAGGACATTTGAAGTGAGAACAATGCCATATTCACAGTCCAAGTAAGAACTATTGAATGTAACATTCTAGGAATGTTTTGGAAAGTCTGTTTATGTTTGAAGAATGTAAAAAAACAGCCATATTTGTGGATGTTGATGCACCTAATAAACAGGTCTCATCATCGCTTGTCCGAGTATACCGTCTGGCCTCATCCTCGCTTGCCGTGTATATCGTCAGCTTCTAACGTCTGTATGGGCATACCGTCAGGTCTGGTCATCTCTTATCCGAGCTTATGGTCAGGCATGGTCATTCTCTTATCCGAGGAAACCGTTAGGTCTGATCATCGGTTGTCCGAACATATTTGCTTTGTCTGATCATCGCTTATCCAAGCAAATCATCAGATCTGAACATCTCTTATCCGAGAACACCGTCAGGTCTGATCATCGTTTGTCTCTGTTTAACGTCAGGTGCGATCATCGATTAGCCGAGTATATCGTCAGGCCTGATCATCACCTGTCGGAGTATACCGTCAGGCCTGATCATCACCTGTCCGAGTATACCGTCAGGTCTGGTCATTGGTTGTCCGAGTATACCGTCAGGTCAGATCAACGCATGTCCGAGTATACCGTCAGGCCTGATCATTGCCTATCCGAGTATATCGTCATGTCTGATTATCGATTGTCCTAGTATACCGTCAGGTCAGATCATCGCCTGCCCGAGTACACCGTTAGGTCCGATCATCGCTTGTCCGAGTATAGCGCTAGGTCCGATCATCGCCTGTCCGAGTATACCATCAGGACTGATCATTGCCTATCCGAGTATATCGTCATGTCTGACTATCGATTGTCCTAGTATACCGTCAGGTCAGATCATCGCCTGTCTGAGTATACCGTTAGGTCCGATCATCGCTTGTCCGAGTATAGCGCTAGGTCCGATCATCGCCTGTCCGAGTATACCGTCAGGCCTGATCATTGCCTATCCGAGAATATCGTCATGTCTGATTATCGATTGTCCTAGTATACCGTCAGGTCAGATCATCGCCTGCCCGAGTAAACCGTTAGGTCCGATCATCGCTTGTCCGATTATAACGCTAGATCCGATCATCGCCTGTCCGAGTATACCGTCAGGTCAGATCATCGCTTGACCGAGTATACCGTCAGGTCTGATCATCGCTTGACCGAGTATACCGTCAGGTCCGATCATCGCTTGACCGAGTATACCGTCAGGTCCGATCATCGCTTGACCGTGTATACCGTCAGGTCCGATCATCGCCTGTCCGAGTATACCGTCAGGTCCGATCATCGCTTGACCGTGTATACCGTCAGGTCCGATCATCGCTTGACCGAGTATACCGTCAGGTCCGATCATCGCTTGACCGTGTATACCGTCAGGTCCGATCATCGCTTGACCGTGTATACCGTCAGGTCCGATCATCGATTGTCCTCTGCCCAATAACCATATATCATGCGAGATTTATCGACATATCCTATCTGTAGTATTTTCAAGGCAGATAAGTGAGTCAAATAGTGACTCAATAGCTTACATGAATTAAATCTTGCAGCAAAATCTGATGTAGAAATGGCAGCAGCGTTATAAATAAATATCATCTATAGTATTGTTTCATTAAATAGTTTCTCATCCAACGTTTTATATGACACTCAAAGGCAGATGTGTTTCCTCAGCAGGAAGTTATTTGGCGTCACAAGAACACGAAGTGGGTGTTTCTTACCAGGAAGTTAGTTTTCCAAAGTTTACAGCCCATTTTTCTCGAGGAATACAGAGTTTTCATTTGAAAATAAAATTACCGGAACACAGCTACGAAAGCACCTACTTCACAAATAGGTTTACCTGGCCTGTATCTATGCAAACATGACATGATGCCGGTCGTATACAAGTGACACGTTCATTCTCTGTATGGTTTTGCGTGTGATGATGCACGCCAATGCACATTCTGACTTGTACAAACATATTGTCATAATCCGTATGCCTTTACAAAGACGTTAAACTATGGAACTTGTTGTTTCTCTGGCGCTCGCCATTCGTGGGATAAAGCCGTGCCTGGCCGACTCGGAGTCAGTACAATGTGTGGGGTATCCATGTTAAATTGTGGCTGGTAATTCCACAATGTTCTGCCATGAGTCGATAAAGCCGATGTCAATGATTACATATCCTTAATTGCCTTGATGCAGGCTTGAGGCCTTTGACAGACGCGCTCAAAGCTAACACACAAACGGTTATGAATCGAAAACAATTTCACATACGTTTAACATTAGTTATATATGTACGTGCTTATGTCATGAGGAAACGAAACACACATACATTGCACCAACCAACAAATGACAGACTGGTGAAATGACTGCAGATTACATATTTAAAAGTTGAATCACCAAAGGCTGGAAAATGTAATGATAATAAATAATAATCAGCCGTCGTATACAATGAACTGTCATCTGTTCTGATGACATGCATTCTTCATTGCCACACAGTATACAACATGCTCGTGTGTATCAATATCAGGCTCAAGGGAAGGAGAGATTGTGTTCATCCAGATAAATATGTTCGTGAGTGGTATAGCTCAGTTTCAATATCCAAATCATATCCTTCCATTTCTTTCGATAAGTTTGTGTTGTCATCACAGAATCAAAGGTTGAGACGCGCTTCTAGATCTGTAAGCACCTACTTTTGGTGATGTTCGTTTCCCAAGAGCCATGGACACATACCACAGATGAAGGCTGATCTTTCTCCGCCAGCGGCAACCAACGAGGATCACCTTGGCTCCTTTGGTCCGTCCCTGGGGTCCAGTTGGGTGGTAGTGGGGAGAGGGACTCCCTGGGGTCCAGTTGGGTGGTAGTGGGGGGAGGGGGTCCCTGGGGTCCAGTTGGATAGTAGGGGAGAGAGGGAGTCCCTGAGGTCCAGTAGGATGGTAGTGGGGAGAGGGGGTCCCTGGGGTCCAGTTGGATGGTAGTGGTGGGAAGGGAGTCCCTGGGGTCCAGTACGAAGGTAGTGGGGAGAGGGGGTCCCTGGGGTCCAGTTGGATGGTAGTGGAGAGAGGGAGTCCCTGGGGTACAGTAGGATGTTAGTGGGGAGAGGGGGTCCCTGGGGTCCAGTTGGATGGTAGTGGTGGGAAGGGAGTCCCTGGGGTCCAGTACGAAGGTAGTGGGGAGAGGGGGTCCCTGGGGTCCAGTACGGTGGTAATGGGGAGAGGGGGTCCCTGGGGTCCAGTCGGATGGTAGTGGAGAGAGGGAGTCCCTGGGATCCAGTAGGAAGGTAGTGGGGAGAGGGGGTCCCTGGGGTCCAGTTGGATGGTAGTGGAGAGAGGGAGTCCCTGGGGTCCAGTAGGATGGTAGTGGGGAGAGGGGGTCCCTGGGGTCCAGTAGGGTGGTAGTGGGGAGAGGGGGTCCCTGGGGTCCAGTAGAGTGATAGTGGGGAGAGGGGGTCCTAAGGGTCCAGTAGGATGGTAGTGGGGAGAGGGGGTCCCTGGGGTCCAGTAGGATGGTAGTTGGGAGAGGGGGTCCCTGGGGTCCAGTAGGATGGTAGTGGGGAAAGGGAGTCCCTGGGGTCCAGTAGGATGGTAGTGGGGAGAGGGGGTCCCTGGGGTCCAGTTGGATGGTAGTGGAGAGAGGGAGTCCCTGGGGTCCACTTGGATGGTAGTGGTGGGAAGGGAGTCCCTGGGGTCCAGTACGAAGGTATTAGGGAGAGGGGGTCCCTGGGGTCCAGTACGGTGGTAATGGGGAGAGGGGGTCCCTGGGGTCCAGTTGGATGGTAGTGGGGAGAGGGGGTCACTGGGGTCCAGTACGGTGGTAATGGGGAGAGGGGGTCCCTGGGGTCCAGTTGGATGGTAGTAGAGAGAGGGAGTCCCTGAGGTCCAGTGGGGTGGTAGTGGGGAGAGGGAGTCCCTGAGGTCCAGTAGGATGGTAGTGGGGAGAGGGGGTCCCTGGGGCCCAGTAGGATGGTAGTGTGGAGAGGGGGTCCCTGGGGTCTAGTAGGATGGTAGTGGGGAGAGGGGGTCCCTGGGGTCCAGTAGGATGGAAGTGGGGAGAGGGAGTCCCTGGGGTCCAGTAGGATGGTAGTTGGGAGAGGGAGTCCCTGGGGTCCAGTGGGGTGGTAGTGGGGAGAGGGAGTCCCTGAGGTCCAGTAGGATGGTAGTGGGGAGAGGGGGTCCCTGGGGTCCAGTAGGATGGTAGTGGGGAGAGGGGGGTCCCTGGGGTCTCGTAGGATGGTAGTGGGGAGAGGGGGTCCCTGGGGTCCAGTAGGATGGTAGTGGGGAAAGGGAGTCCCTGGGGTCCAGTAGGATGGTAGTGGGGAGAGGGGTCCCTGGGGTCCAGTAGGGTGGTAGTGGGGAGAGGGGGTCCTAGGGGTGCAGTAGGATGGTAGTGGGGAGAGGGGGTCCCTATGGTCCAGTAGGATGGTAGTTGGGAGAGGGACTCCCTGAGGTCCAGTAGGACGGTAGTGAGGAGAGGGGGTCCTGGGGTCCAGTAGGATGGTGATGGGGAGAGGGGGTCCTAGGGGTCCAGTAGGATGGTGGGGGGGGAGTGGGTACCTGGGATCCAGTAGGATGGTAGTGGGGAGAGTTGGTCCCTGGGGTCCAGTTGGGTGGTGGTGGGGAGAGTGGGTTCCTTGGGTCCAGTAGGGTGGTAGTGGGGAGAGGGGGTTCCTGGGGTCCAGTAGGATGGTAGTGGGGAGAGGGAGTCCCTGAGATCCAGTAGGGTGGTAGTGGGGAAAGGGAGTCCCTGGGGTCCAGTTGGATGGTAGTGGGGAGAGGGGGTCCCTGTGGTCCAGTAGGGTGGTATTTGGGAGAAGGACTCCCTGGGGTCCAGTAGGAAGGTAGTGGGGAGAGGGGGTCCCTGGGGTCCAGTAATGTGGTAGTGTGGAGAGGGGTCCCTGAGGTCCAGTAGGATGGTAGTGGGGAGAGGGAGTCACTGTGGTCCAGTAGGGTGATAGTGGGGAGATGGAGTCCCAGAGGTCCAGTAGGGTGGTAGTGGGGAGAGGGAGTCCCTGGGGGTCCAGTTGGGTGGTAGTGGGGAGAGGGTGTCACTTTGTTCCAGTAGGATTGTAGTGGGGAGATGGAGTCCCAGAGGTCCAGTAGGGTGGTAGTGGGGAGAGAGAGTCCCTGAGGCCCAGTAGGATGGTAGTGGGGAGAGGGTGTCACTGTGGTCCAATAGGGGGAAGAGGGTATTTGGGTCACTGCGGTCCAATAGGGGGAAGAGAGGATTGGAGTCACTGCGGTCAAATGGGGGGAAGAGGGGATTGGGGTCACTGTGGTCCAATAGGGGGAAGAGGAGATTGGAGTCACTGCGGTCCAATGGGGGGTAGAGAGGATTGGAGTCACTGTGGTCCAATAGGGGGTAGAGGGGATTGGAGTCACTGCGGTCCAATGGGGGGTAGAGGGGATTGGGGTCACTGTGGTCCAATAGGGAGAAGAGGGGTTTTGAGTCACTTCGGTCCAATTGGGGGTGGAGGGGATTGGAGTCAATGTGGTCCAATAGGGGGAAGAGGGGATTTGGGTCACTGTGGTCCAATAGGGGGTAGAGGGGAGATGGAGTCCCAGAGGTCCAGTAGGGTGGTAGTGGGGAGAGGGAGTCCCTGGGGGTCCAGTTGGGTGGTAGTGGGGAGAGGGTGTCACTTTGTTCCAGTAGGATTGTAGTGGGGAGATGGAGTCCCAGAGGTCCAGTAGGGTGGTAGTGGGGAGAGAGAGTCCCTGAGGCCCAGTAGGATGGTAGTGGGGAGAGGGTGTCACTGTGGTCCAATAGGGGGAAGAGGGTATTTGGGTCACTGCGGTCCAATAGGGGGAAGAGAGGATTGGAGTCACTGCGGTCAAATGGGGGGAAGAGGGGATTGGGGTCACTGTGGTCCAATAGGGGGAAGAGGAGATTGGAGTCACTGCGGTCCAATGGGGGGTAGAGGGGATTGGGGTCACTGTGATGCAATAGGTGGTAGAGAGGATTGGAGTCACTGTGGTCCAATAGGGGGTAGAGGGGATTGGAGTCACTGCGGTCCAATGGGGGGTAGAGGGGATTGGGGTCACTGTGGTCCAATAGGGAGAAGAGTGGTTTTGAGTCACTTCGGTCCAATTGGGGGTGGAGGGGATTGGAGTCAATGTGGTCCAATAGGGGGAAGAGGGGATTTGGGTCACTGTGGTCCAATAGGGGGTAGAGGGGATTGGAGTCACTGCGGTCAAATAGGGGGAAGAGGGGATTGCGGTCACTGTGGTCCAATGGGGGGTAGAGGGGATTGGAGTCGCCCCGGTCCAATAGGGGAAAGAGGGGATTGCGGTCACTGTGGTCCAATGGGGGGTGGAGGGGATTGGAGTCACTGCGGTCCAATAGGGGGAAGAGGGGGTTGTGGTCACTGTGGTCAAATGGGGGGGGGGGGGGGGGGGGGGGGGGGGTAGAGGGGATTGGGGCCACTGTGGTCCAATGGGGGGTAGAGGGGACTGGAGTGACTGTGGTCCAAAAGGGGTAGAGGGGATTGGGGTCACTGTGGTCCAATAGGGGGTAGAGGGGATTGGAGTCACTGCGGTCCAATAGGGGGTAGATGGTAGAGGCGATGATACCGTGGTCCAGTAGGATAGAGGTGGGGAGAAGTAGTCACTGTGGTCTTAAAGGATTGTAATTGGGAGAGGGTCCAGTATGATAGTGGTGACGAGAGGGAATCAATGTGGCCCAGTAGAATGGTGAAGGGGCTGGGGGTTGGGACACAGTGGTCCAGTAGCCTTGCGCTGGCGAGAGCGGTTTATTTTAGTCCAGAAGGATGATAGTGGCGAGTGCGAAACACTTTGGGTGAAAAATATATAAGAAGGGATGCGGACACTATCGTTAGATTATTGACACTCTAAACAGTTTTACAGTTACATCACGATCTGTCAGCCTCACGTGGGACGAAAGCCCGAGAGCAACCTAGAAAAATAATCAGGACAAACCGGGATCGAACCCAAGATCGAAGATTTCTGGAAGCGAGTCTGCAGACGAGAGGGCCACCCGTTCACGTTCACTGCAGATAAGGCAGAAGGAGATGCAATCCATGTTTGTTTCTTTATTAGCCAGAAACAATAAAGTGATCAGCATTGTTTTATTGACTACAGTCTCAGCATGATGAATGTTATGCGCGGTTTTGAGTAAGTGAGTATGGTTTTACGCCGCTTTTAGCAATATTCCAGCAATATCACGGCGGGGGACACCATAATGGGCTTCACACATTGTACCCATGTCGGGAATCGAACCCAGGTCTTCGGCATGTCGAGCGAACGCTTTAACCACTAGGCTACCCGACCGCCCCTATGCTCGGTTGTAATTTACCTCGGATTCACGAGTACTTCTATCAGGTGCGTAATAGGAGAAAGCAAAATGTGTCAGGCACTTAACGGCTATGTAAGCTATTTGATTATCACTTTTGTCATAGTAAACCATCTAAAATATATCGTTGACATTTATTTAAAATGATAATTGCATATATGGTTTTAGTCGATATGAAAATGGTCAAGAGTCGTTAGACTGAGACTATCAAATAAATAGAGGTTATCACGCTTGTGTGTTTGGGGATGGTAAATATCCTGCATTAGGAATAAACATTGTACTTAGCGAGCCTTGGCGAGTTAAATACATAGTGTTTATTCCTAATACAGGATATTTACCATTCCCCAAACACACAAGCGTGATAACCACTTTATCATGTAATGTCATTCTTTAATTCTGTGCTTTAAAATCGCTTTCCCTCTCTAACAAACATTACCGAAACATTGCGAGTTTTCCTGGAATGCGCGCATTAATATTTTTTACGTCACGGGGTAAGTGATGTGTCAGTCGGACAGTGACAGTAGCCAATATAGTTCCAACTGAAATATGTTTCTTATACACTGGCGAAGCAACATATACGCAAAACAACAGTTGTTTTTAATTGCCTTTCGCTAGACTAACTGCCCTTTGTCAACGGGAAGCTTCTCTAACCCTAGTCTATGAGACGTCACGGCTACGGTCAGACGTTGTTGACAGTCGGTCTGTCCTGTTATAACATTAAGAAGTGTAGTCAGATGTACACACAGCGACACAACGAAACAAGGTTACAATTCAAACATATTTCGGCAAAATCCAACTATTTAAATTTGTGGAGAAGGTTTTAAGCCGCAGAGGTCTACAAGCACAGATATGGCTACTGATCCCGCTTGGCTAGGCCTCGTGCCCTCGCCAAATTGTTTCGAAATTTATATCTCCAAAGTTGCCCAAACTTATAAAATGCCTTAGCTACGTCACAGTTAGACACTGATTTTCAGTATATTAGACTGCTGTTTTGATAATGATAGCAATTATCCCTGTAGTTTATCCAGATTCCCGATGGTTAATTCTGACTCGATCGCCGAATGACGAGGGAGACGCCATGTTTGTTTATAAACAGTGAAAGTAGTCCTACTTGACCTTTGATATCCGCATATGACCCCAACGGATATCGTTTTTATCCGTTGGCTTTATCCTGCCGAGACCTGCCCATTATATGATAAATGAGGATATCAGCCAGAGTGCCGAAGGTTTGTGACATTGCAACTTGTGACAATATATTTTAGATACATTTCCTGTCTTTTATTTCCGACTTAATGTAACTATTCCAAAACTACTATGCACATCACACCCTCGAAACATTGTTCAAACGCATGTAACAACAGCATTGAGCATTAAACATGAACATTTCACCATCTACATGGATCAATGAATTGGCCCGCACAATAGTACCCGGAACATATAAGGACACACGAGCTGTGAGAGGCGACAAACAACCCAGATTGGCCGTTGTCTCTCAAATCACCCACGCGAACTGATAACCTGACATGTACCGTTATGTTGCAATGGGAGTGGTGTTTTGATCACTTTCTTACGAAAGCTTATTAGGGCCAAATTGATAACATTTTTTATTTAAAAGTTGTAATTACAAGTTGTAAAGTTACTTGTAAATACACCTTGACAACGTGTAATTACACCTTTACAACTTGTAATTACAACTTTTATATTAAAAGTGGTACCAATGAATTTGGCCCTTTTAGGCTTTCGTAGGGAATCGATTGATGTTGCACCCGTCACTGAGCCATCATCCAATCATCCAATCATGACAAAAGGAACACGTGATCATGGCCTGCGATGGTTTTAACAAATCAAAACGGTTTACTTTGCGGTCTTAAGTTCAAGTCGAACCTAACACTTGTTCATTCAATGACTACTCGTTGTGCACAGCTAGCGGTCTGTTCAGAGATGTGAGTATCAAACTTGAGTGTTAATTGGCGTATGGGTGTACGACAGTAAACAATGACCATGTAAGTAACAAGGAGCTACGGTACTTGGACCCATTGCTTCTGAACTCCTAAGGCCAAGCATCTCGCCATGCAGAGTTACGTATCAGACAACAGAGCCACGGAATGCAAGTACGTAGCTACATATGGCTGCTGAACCAATAAGGCGGAGACATATAGCCACTGCGCAGAAAGGTAAAGAGACCACGTTGTCTTTGTCATAATTCAACACACCCTATGCGCCTGTATTTATTTCCAGTTAGTATTGTACACGCAGTATGAATACATGTGTGGCACCTCGCCCTTGGTTATATTGTCCTATTTTGCCAGGTCATGCTGACCAACTGCGCAATATAAACATGATGCTCGGGTTAGGTCAAAGCTGCAGCACATATTCAGGTGAGAATGAATACCATTCACCTCAGATCCAGCACAATGTCGTTATAGCTGTCGTGTTTGTATGCTTGATACATGTATGCTTAGCTTTATTGTATTTCGAACATGTAATCTGCCTGTGGAGGTGAGTAGGAGGAGATGCAACCGTTACGCCATTGTTCAGGCGAATAGACAGACATGTTTGTTATGCCTAACTAACGTTAGTTCAACAGCACCTTAGCATCGGGATGACCGATAGAAAAGATGAGAGTGTTAAAAATGTCTTTTTGTCACTGAATTGCAGCATGGAGTCGAAACAAGCATGGAAAATAGGGATTATATTATGTGTGCTTGTGAACATCGTCGTCATTGGCGTAGCTGTGTATGTTGTGGCAATACACCCGGAAGATCAACAGGCTCTTGCTGCAGATGAGAAATTGAAAGCGCTTATCGACAGCAAGGTATGTACATTTTATAAATTTGTATCTGAAGTACTAGTATCAAGTGTATGAAGTATGAATAGATTTATTTCATTTTAATAAAGAGATTACCAATTGTCATTTTAATGTAGGTATCCATACTGTCGAATAGATTGCTCACCTGTACGGATTCAAAACAAATATAATTATAATTGCATAGTTGATGCTATTATTTACAGACGGACACCTAGTACCAGCGCAGTTAGGCATGATGTTAATATTTAAGTCAGTGTTCATACTTATCATACAGTTTGCTGCTGTTTGTGTGAATCTGAAGCATGAAATGTTCTTCAATAACATTTATGTTGGTGAATGTAATAATGTTCATGAAACTTCCTTATGTAACAATTGATACTGGAGAATATACCTACAGATAAACGATGCCCTGAAAGATACGGAGACAGATGCACGGGTGTTCGGTGATCAAAGTGGAGGTAGGATGAAAATAATCAATCATTATTAAGTTTTCATCGTGTATATTTCCTGCCAGTATCACCAAAGACGATATAGACAACAAAAAACACACAATTGTTTTAGAAAAGAATTGTTTAACTGATACAAATCGAAAAATGTGCATGTTGATCTTATTGCTGGAATGTATCACAGAGGGCTGCATTAGTCCGGACTAGTACAAACAGCTGCACGCCAACGTGCATGTACATCACTATATGAATGATATACTCTTAAAAGCAAAGTTGAACCCCATTATAGCACACCCATTGTTTTACGATTCAGATATACTAGACACGAAGTTCCTGAACCTCCTGAAACCAATGGCTTCGCTTCACGGATTGCAGCCTTTTCGCTCACTAGGTATGTCGGTGTGAAGGTTTAATATCCACATTCTACTCGATCTGAAAATAAATCTTGGCATCACAGGTAAATACAAAGCATGAAAGGGGTGTCAACTCCAAATATATTTTTTTTCAAGTGATGGGCTCAAGAAAATGTGAAATGTCATGTTTCCCACATTTAACTTCATATCCATATTATTCGCACATACAATTCAGCAAAATGCATGCATAATTTGGACGGTCGGTTCACTGTCTGGGAATATCATATCATTATCTATTCAGACATTTATGGTGGAAGGACAACAGTTCGAACTTGGATAAGAAGAGATGGTCAGACAAAGTCTCACCTTGTTAATGGAATGAAGTACGAACATGGAAGCATCATTGTTCCTGCGAGTGGAAAGTACCGTGTAACTGTCCATGCTGTGATGCACTATGAGGGTACACGGGGAAGGTGTGAAGTCAGCTCACTTGAAGTCGTCCGATACAACGCATTAGAACAGAAGCAAGAGGTTGTATTTCAGGAAAATCGAACCATGTGCCTGGACGCCACCGAGTGGTCTACTGATTACCTCAGTCACATTGGTGGTCTTGTACAGTTACATGCTGAAGATCAGATAGCTGTCGTTGTATCAAACATATCACTACTAATGCGATATAGAGATGGCCATTACTTTGGGGTTGATTTGATTTGAAAAGATGTGGAATCAATGCGCAGCAATCTAATCGGTTGTTGAAACATGCATTGACTCTAACTACCATGCTCATGTACCAGATTTGTCATTCAAATGTGGTTTCTTATGTGCTTTGGGTGTTCGCTATATGACATCTTAACTTTGGTGATGTAGAAGTATTCCATTAAAAGCGAACATTATTTTAATCAGAACATATTATGTTTTCATTCGTTTTGTTTTCAATTTATCGATCATTGTGCTTTCAGCATCAGTTTGATTCGCTGTGCAGAGTTGTGTCCCTTGGGCACGCCAGAAACCTATGATTTTGGGTTCGAATCGTTGCTCGGTTTCTCCGCACCATACCCGTTCTCGTGGGTTTCACCGAAGTGGTTAACGTCTGAGACCTGCATCACTTCGGGCTTTCCTCCCACATTAAGCTGACACGCCGTGATATAACTCGAATACTGTTAAAAGCGGCGTTAAACCCAACTCACTCACTCACTCAGCATCAGTTTCATCTGGAGATTGCTTGGAGGGACAGTGATGGTATTTGTTTTAATTACAGCATATACTGCAAACGGAACTGTTCTCAGATGACTGATACTTTAATAATGATACAATTTCAAAATCAAATCATAGTCACCTGAGTTATTCGTCCAGTTAATACAATCATTTATATCAAAATATGTTGGCCCATGTTGTGAGTGAATATCGTATTGAATAAACAGAAGACGCACATTACAATGGCGGAAGATTTATGTGACTGGCGGTAGTTTATGTGTTTAGACCAGAAGGAGTGACTAATGTGAGTGAGTATGGTTTAACGCCGCTTTTATCAATAGTAATAGTGAGTGAGTGAGTATGGTTTTACGCCGCTTTTAGCAATATTCCAGCAATATCACGGCGGGGGGACACCAGAAATGGGCTTCACACATTGTACCCATGTCGGGAATCGAACCCGGGTCTTCGGCGTGACGAGCGAACGCTTTAACCACTAGGCTACCCAACCGCCCATCAATAGTAATAACAACCCGGGAGACTCCATATTGTCTTCACATTGTACCAATGTGGGAAATCGAACACGGCCCTCAGCGTGAGGTGCGAACGTTTGAACCACAAGGCTTCCTCATCGCGCCGACCAGACCGAAGGGGCATGAGTCAACTGCAGTAAGATCGACACTGCAGCGACACGGGTTTCACAGGGATCTGAGTTGTATCTATTTATAATCTGCTTTTCACTCATGATCTCTGACGTGTGACTATTTACATCCTGGTAAGCAACGGTCACTGTGACATTCAGTTTCTACTATCCATGTCACATGCGGCTGTACAAATCTACCCCGTGCGATGTTTTCACTGGAACTATACAGTCACATGCCAGACAAGAGTGAGTGAGTAAGTATGATTTTACGCCGATTCTAACAATATTCCATCAATATCACGGCGGGGGAACACCAGAAATGGGCTTCACACATTGTACCCATGTCGGGAATCGAACCCGGGTCTTCGGCGTGACGAGCGAACGCTTAACCACCGGTTACCCGAACTCTACTCTTACAATTTTTACACGAATCTACATAATCACAGAACCAACCAAAATATATTTCAATAATCCTTCAGTATTCCTAAGAACATGACACATGGACACGAACGTGAAACGAGTTGTCTCCCTTGTCTCATCTCAGCTTTTTGTGCTGGTTTTCAAAAGGGTTTGAAACGACAGAGAATACTCGCCTATTTGCTGTGTTTGACAAGAGACATATGAGGTAACCTATCTCCTTACAACATATGTGTTCAGAAAAGACGATTATACCTGCTTTTGCAGGAGTGTATGAGGGAACTTTTATGTTTCTCTTTGGGGAAAATTATGTTTTACAGAAATACTAATCTAGCGGCACACGGCAATCCTTAAGAGGTGAGGTGAGATGAAATGGGGTTTAACGTCGCGTCAAATATTATTACATTTTTATAGCGACGTGCATGCACGTGTGTGTGTGTGTATGTATGTCTGTGTGTGCGTGCGTGCGTGCGTGCGTGTGTGTGCGTGTGCGTGTGCGTGTGCGTGTGCGTGTGCGTGTGTGTGTCTGCTTGTACGAGTCCGGACTGATATCGATTTATAGTGCTGAGATACCCTGCCGCAGTTTAACATGAATATCCCAATTAGACACAGAAAACTGACTCTGAGCCGACCAGTTCTTGTTTCAGTCGAGCGCCAGACAGGGTGGACGCGCAACCACAAGACCACGGAGGCGGTCTCGCATCAAGGCGTACGCTGAAAAACATGAACAGAGCGCTTGGGGCTTTTAATTGGGATCCCTTGCAGTGAGATTGTTGGAATATTGCTACAATGGGTACAAACATTACTCACTCATTTAGTAGTAGTAGTAGTAGTAGTAGTAGTAGTAGTAGTAGAAGTAGAAGTAGAAGTAGAAGTAGTAGTAGTAGTAGTAGTAGTAGTAGTCAAGGTCACGATCATATCATGCGTGTCGTAATAGCTGACGCTTGTGATTGGTAGGTCACACTGCATAATGCTGATGACAGTACATACCAAGACTACGTGAATCCGTTGTCATGCTATAAACCACGGTTTTGCATAATTATCCAATCCGTGTGCGTGTGTGAGAATGTGTATGTATGTGTGTGTATGTATGTGTGTGTGTATGTGTGTATATATGTGTGTGTATGTGTGTGTATGTGTGTGTGTATGCGTATGTATGTGTGTGTATGTGTGTATGTGTGTATATATGTATGTGTGTATGTGTGTATGTATGTGTATGCGTGTGTATGTATGTATGTGTGTATGTGTGTATGCGTGTGTGCGCGTGTGAGTATGTGTGTGTGTGTGATATAATAACACTTAATGCGTAATCAGTATCACATCATCGATCGAAGATTTTAAAAAAAGATAACTACATACATAGCCAGGCTATGATCCCACATTTCTATGCAATATTATACCTGACAACCCAGTGACACTGAGGTGGAACATAGTCCATTGTGGGATGGTGTGTTTTAACTCTTAATGTGAAAATTCTCTCAATGTAAAAATATTAACATTAAGAGTTACATGTTAGCTCTTATTTGTGACGAAAATAACATTGAGAGTAACAACGGTAAAAACATTTATATTTTTTACATTAAGGGTTACTATCGTGCCTATTGTTTTAAACAAAGTTCGATTGGAAATATCGGATACTTTTTCCTATTTTCAAGTTTTTATTGTTTTTGCTCGGTTTCTTGCAATTATTCGTAATAGGCGGCAGCGTGAGAAACTGACTTTGCTCAGATCTGAAAACAAGAGGGGCTATCATAAGAATGACAGGCTCGTTATTGAGGACATGCCAGCTACTACTCTGGAATATAGAAGATTTTTCCAACAAGCTTTCGGACATTGGCCAAATTTCATTTGTATCTGAACATGACATTGTTGCTTTATATCAAAAATAGTCAATGGCAAATTACTTTTGTGACATTTTTCCAGAATATATCAACATTTTTGGTTACCAGCCACAAAAAGGTCCAAGTTCGGGAGGTATTCGGGAGATAAATATTCACTGATAAATATTAACTGGTAAGATACGTTATTCATGTCCGATACAGATATCACTATTCTGTTGGATAAAAATATGTTTAGTTTCAGTAGAGCTACATTATGTGTGTTTACATATATCCAGAACGATCTGATATGATAACAAAGATAGTGATTGAGTGAGTTGGGTTTAATGCCGCTTTTAACATTATTCCAGTTATATCACGGCGTGTCAGCTTAATCTGGGAGGAAAGCCCGAAGTGATTCGGGTCTCAGACGTTCATCACTTCGGTGAAACCCACGAGCACGGGTATGGTGCTGACAAACCTAGAAACATGATCGTGTTATGTTGAAATTTACTTATTATTCTCAAATACATTCTTTTGCATTAATAATAATTATTAACTGGAAATGCTCAATTTTTTCATTTCATCAGAATGTGACCAAGCCCAGGCAATATACATGAAACTGTGCCTATTATATTGATATAGTGATGTATTGTTTACCATTCACAAGCTAATGATAGATTAGCTTTAAATTACAAGCAGGTTATGAAATGAAAATATGCTTATTTTAAATATTTACCACTTGAAGAAATTATCTGATGTCATTGTTTAGATGCGCTGAGTGCTTTAATTTGAGCACTGCGTATATTTAGCCACTAATGTGACTCGCTTGATTCTGCCCGCAGCTAAAATCTACTTCCGCTCGGGGTTCGTAACCTTTTTCCAGCTCACTTAATAAACTGTCGATATTGCGATAAGTAAGGGACATTAATCGAATTAGATGACTTGAAAATGAGAAGAAATGTGTTATTTATCAATCTTCGGCCAGAAATGTGCTTGTCAATAAGGGTATCTAAAAGAAATCAAACTGGATATCGAATGTAAACAAACCGCTCCTTTCCTCTTCTTACGTATAGCGGGTACTTTTACTCACTGGCCAATAACGAGTTCCTGTGAAGCTAACATATCACCTTCAGCAAATGTAACTCCGCCGACTCTGTAGGAAAGCGGGTTTGTTTGCTATGGAATACTGTAATGGACATTCTCGCGATCTCGACCTTTGGAAACGAGCTAAATATGCCCAAAACACGAGAATGCGAGATTTGGCCAAAATCTCGCGTTCTCGCATTCTCGTGTTTTTTGGTACATAGCACGTTTTGTCAAAACGCGAGAATGCGACATTTGGACATGATGCAAAATCTCTCTATCTCGACTTGTCAAACTAGGCCACAAAACACGAAATCGCGAGAACGCGAGAATGCGACATTTCATTTTCTCGCGATCTCGTGCGTTTGTGCTAATTGCCTATACAGTTATATGCAACTATTTTCAAATACACGAGAATGCCAGCTTGACTAATGTCGCGATGTCGCGTTCTCGTGCTTTTGTGTCCATAAGCCAAAATCACTCACTTATTCAGAGCCATGTCGGTCCCTCAGGCTGTATATTCGTGTACATTGCCTAGCATGCAGATGTTTGACTGATTTTTTAAAAAACATGGTAGACGGGAGGCATTTTATTTTTAACATTTTTTTCTTATCGAACTTTTTAAGGCATATGTGTACAATTACTGTCGAAGGGTACGATTCACATGCATCATGCAGGCTACGTGTTTTGAGTATTTCATCAAGTAAAGAAAGTAGGCAAATACATATTAGCGATATGTAGATCTCCC